AATAAATTTTCATTACACAATAAAACATATCACATCCCTTCAAACACTAAAAAAAGTTCATCTGGGGTATAGTTAAGTTTTCTTGTCAAGAAATGCAAGCAATTATGGCATCATTTTATAAGAACAAGACATTTCTACGCAGGACACTCATTGGCAGTTTTCATGGGAGAAAAAGACATTTCTTTGACAGATTGACTGATTGATTCACTCATTCACTCACTAACAATTAGAGACTTTACAACAGAAAAATTTAAAAGACTAGCATTTTAAGCGGTAAACATGTAAAACATGTTGAAATATTTTAAAAAGTCAGCCTGTGATCTTAATCTACCCTTCCCTTCTTCTAACTGACAATCAACTGAGTGTGACTGACAGACAGTCTGACTAACAGACAGACTGACTGGCTGGCTTGCTGATGGTCTCACAGAATTATGGAAGGGTGGCAATCTTTCAAAGACAGATAATTCTTTATGTATGCTATGTTTTGACTGCCTAGTAAGCTTTAAAAAGGTACTGGTGAAGAACCTTTTCTTTCCAAGATCTACGAGGGCGAAACAGAATATCAAATAAAGAATTACACACATCTGGGTCTAATACACGCTCAATCATTTTGACCACAACTGCTAGATGAAACTCACTTTTCTTTAACAGATGGTAAGTTTCTTGCAAATACTCCCTCACAACTGTCTCGGCATAGTCTCTTCTTTTCACCATTGTAACTTCAAACTTTTGGAACAATTCAGGATGGAGCTTTCCAACTCTACCAAATGCCAACACAAGGATAACCAAATCATTTGTTGCAAAGGATTTGAGATCATCACGCTGTAACAGCTCTTCTTCAACCACTTCAAACACTTCAGCTACAAACGCATCTGCTCTAGAGTAAGAAAGTGACAGAGATGCCAGAGTCCATGGCTTAAATTGGCTTAGATCTCGAGTTAAAATCTCACTACCAATCGCCTTGTAAAATTGCCTATCTTTGGGAAAGCCAAACTCAGAAAACGACCAAGCTATAGTGCACAGTTCTTCAGATGAAAATTTTGATATGTCTCTTGAGAAAATCTCCTTATCTAAGGCATGGAATATTTCAACAACATTTGTATGCAAACAGTATTTTGCGAATGCCCAGCCTAGCTGAGACAGCTGTTTGTTAGAGTATCCTCTGAGTTTGTGGTACAAAATTCCCCTTTCGAGATCCGCGTACATAGAAGGATCTTTAACACACAATTTAGCCATGTAAATTACAACGTTGTATATCTGATTCGCATCAAAGTCATTAAGGTGTACCCTGACGTCTTGCGCCAGCATCTCAAACAAACTCTGTTGGAGAGGCTGAGTCAAAAACACATCTCTCATCTGAACGCTTTTCGAGAAATACACCACGATACATTCAAGAATTGTGAATTTATGGAGAGGAGTCAGTTCTCGCTTTTTATTCACTCTGAACCAGTAAAACTGCAAAAGCCCCTTGATGGACTGTATCTTCCTAATTCGCTTGGTGAGTTTCTCTTCAGGTGTGGACACAGGCTCAGGGTTTACTAGTCCCTCAAGGCGTGTCTTTCGTAACTTCTTCAGAAGCTTGCCAGAAGCTTCTCTAGATTTCTCTGTTCTCTCGGCTTTCTTATTACTTGGACGAGCTACATGTAATCCAGATGTGTGGAAGAGATAGCTTTTGTGGAAATAACCCAGAAAAGCCACAGACAAGAATTTATCATGGAGACTACTAGAGATGTGACCGCGCAACTGATTTCCAAGCATGTGGGCACGACGAACTTTGGGTAAAAGCGAATTCATTTTCTATAAAAGAACACGATTTCTTTCTCCGCAAAATTTTCCTGGGTATTCTTTTATGTGGTGAAGATTAGACAATATTCTGAGTGGTCTTACAGTACAACAGAAGGTAAAACTTCTGCTAGTCCTAATGCATTGCAACGGCCGCCATTTTGTTTTCAGTTAGGTACCAGACTCCTCAGGGAAAAGTAGCTGCGATATCAGACTGCTATCGAGGATTGCACCACTGTGGTGTAAACAAGCGGCCCTCAGGTCATCATCGGCATGTGACACGAAGCAAGCCGGTGTCTTCCCTCCACCTTGTTTACACTGCATCACTTGCTGACATCTTCACGTAATCTCTACAACTCAACAATTTGCAGGTATTACGCTATTTACCGGCTGGCTTGACCTTGGCAAGCGTATTATTGGAACTGAATTATTTTTCTAAACTTATGTGCGCTACTTAAGCGAGATTACTATTCTGCGTATACTAGAAGGTGCTGCTGAGTTACAATCCTTTTGTAGCACAACTTAAGATCGTAACAACAATGCCGGATATAAACAAACAAGATAAACTTGTTTTTGTATGTGGGCTTATGGATTTGTTGGTACGAATTCATGTCGGTCGAAGTTAGATTTAGAAAAACTTTGTGGCTCGATTGCGTGCGTAATTGGCCGGCGAAGATTGTCAAGCTACACAGAAGACTGTCAATCCTCAGGTGCTTAAACCAAATGCATCTTTGACATTCTACATGTCCAATGCTGTACATGTGCCAGTTACATGTACACAAGTACATATCATTAATGCAATTAGGTAAAACTACAGATTTTAATTACACATCCTTTTAAGTTATGCCTCGTTCTTCACAGCATGCTGACAATTGAGCTGGACCTCATTGGCCCTGTTTTGTTTAGTTGCTCACAGAACTAAATTGCCTAGTCCCTAGGATGACTAAGAAAATGATAATTTTAAGTCTTTCTCCGTGGGCTGTTGTGTTAAACAGGAGTAAACATCAATTTCTATTTTAATCAAAACTGTAACAAAATTCTCGAACGCAATCCGTTATCACCAGCCCGATTTGAGCACAAATAGGACAGTGTACACATCATGCTTGTAATTGGACAGCATAATAGGACAGTTAAAGGGACAGTTCACACATCATGTCTGTGTAAGTGGACTCTGACTGTCACGTGCATGTGCTGTTGTCTTGCTTATTGCCAACGTAACTATTGAATTTTTTTATGAAACTGTATAACCAATTCTAGTTTCTTTCTCAAATTTTGTCATAGTTTTGATTAATTGGTAACAGGACATTGTGTCGTCCAATCATATATATGATTAACAAATCAGACTCCTGCTTCACAGTTGTATGATTTTGTCATTCGCTCATACGATTACTAACTGAATTGGACTCCACTCGGTTCTATTAGCATTATATATCATAGGCTGAATACACACATTTTGATTGGTTAGTATGATCTTTTGAAAGAAGGATGCACAGATGACATCGCCATAGACAACATTGCATTTTATTGTATTAAGCAAATAGATTCTATGTTGTTGTGGTCTGTACAGTAATAGATCACAAAAGACATCAAAATGCAGTAAGAACACCAGTGACACACTCAGCAGTGCCTTGCATTCATTTTTTCCCAACACTTACCACATTTTGACATCATCTGTGATTTATTACTGAACAGACACATGACAGCATGAAATCTATTTGTTAACCATTTAACTCCTAAGATCTCACAAGTAATTCTCCTTGCTGTCTGCCAAACGATTCTAATTATGTTAGTTTGGATAATTTGGTATCAGATCAATTAGTAATCCGCTAATTGATGTTTTCCTTTGTTCTCATCACTTGCTTGCATGATATTGTATAGCTTTGTTCTTTTTCATTTCAGATAAGTTTTTGTAAAAATGGAAGTACGTGTTGAAGATGGTTCAATCAATTCTGAAGCTATGACTTCCCAAACTCAATCAGAGAATTTTGTTGACAATGGATGGGCTTCTTTTCCTGAGGTTGCCAAGAGGGAAGAAGTTAAAAGGGTAGGTTAAATTTTGCAACTGATCAATGAAATCTTTTACACCTGTTTCTCTAAAATATCACATCTGTAATCTGTTTTTTTTGGTGAAGGTACTGATTGACTGTGGTTTTGTTTTATTTCATATAGAAACAAAATCCTGAAGATAGAGCCAACTTTCTCTCAAGGCTCACATTTTGGTGGTTTAACTGGTGAGAACTTTTGTATGAATGATATAGTTTATGTGATCTGATTACCTAGAATAGGCTATCATACAATCTTGAAAGGACTACTGTAGTCCTCCATGATTGAGGTTTCACAAGAAATTATCAAAGACTTGATTCATATTGGACGTTATCTATAAATTAGAGAATTCTTGGTCTGCAGATGTGAATCCTCTTCCCTTGGTCTAACTTTGTGCACCAGTGTCAATAAAAATAGCCAATAACTTTAATTTTTTTCCAGGATTATATCTACTGGTTACAAAAGACCACTCAAGGACAAGGATTTATGGGCCTTGAGGAGAGAAAATCAAGCAACATATATTGTCCCAAAACTGAAAAAGAAATGGACAGAACAACAAATGAAATGCAGAAAAATGTAAGAAATCAGATAAAGTGTATTGTAAAATAATGTGAAAACTAAAGTCCTGGCTTCTTGTATGTTTACTGATCATCATCCTTGAGGCAAATAATTGGGTGAGAAGGAAATAACATGGTGGTTTTGACTGGATGTGAAAGTTTACTTGATGTGCCAGAGAGTCATGAAAACTTTTGTGCCCAGTTGCAATCACCTTTTTATCTTCCTCTTGTCTTAGTTTTTCCCTTTCAGTTGGTTCTATGAAGATGACTGATCGTTAGTTCTGTTTGTGTCACCTTGGAGACACACTGCCAAAAGGCTCAACTCCTATTCCTCAGCTGTTGTATCCATCTCTATACATCCCTTTCACCAGGGAAATCAAATATATAAACCTGCAAACCTGAAACCTGTATTTCTATCTGCCGTGAAATCGGATTGGAACATGAGGCATCCATACTCTTTTTAGAAACTAAAGTGTGTGCTCTACAGTTGCTCTCGAAACTTCCCTTTACCTTCTGCCCTCTTCCTCTCCTCACCTCCAAGTTATGATTGTTACCTCACTAATAAGCACTGACTCATCACCCCTCACCCTTCAACTCTGACCCTTGACCTTTTCCCCTTTATTCTTGACTCCTAACCCTTTACTCATCACACCCGAGTGCTCAACTCTAAGTTCTATCCACTTTTCTCTACTTCTAAGAAGTCAATGCAGCTAATTATAAGAACCCCTTCAAATTGTCTAAGGTTGAGCATTAAAGAATCATCTCATGGGACATTGCTTGATTTTTCTGTTGATTATTTTATTTGATTTTGATTAGAAATTCAGACAGAAGAAGTCATAAAGATGAAGATGAATACAATGAAAGTGATAGACTATTGGATGATGACAGTGGCCCTGATGAGGACATCGAAAATACCTCAACGAGAAAAGAGGAGAAAAAACCTTCTCTCAGAAAAACACTGGGAAGCCTGTTTGGGTTCAAGTTTGCCCTTGCTGTCTTTTGCAAGCTGTTGCACGATTTGCTCATTTTCATCCAGCCTCAGCTTCTAAAGTATAGTGTTCCCTTTCATTTGATTTGTCAGACAAATGTAATAAACCTAGACTCAGAATCTAAAGTGGTGAAGGTAGATGGATGATTTTTATACAATCCTTTATTTTCATTCAATAAGTGTACTGCTTTTTTTTTTTAATTTCTTGAACATTTTCCATCGTATTTAGTCATGCTAGAGAAAACACTGTCTGTCACCTCTCACACACAAAAGAATTAAATGAGAGGCACAAGATTGCAAAACTTTACTGAATACATAGAATATGCCAACGATAATAACATGTGAAATAGTTAGAAGAGTATGCATGGTGATGTTCCCAATCCTTTGCCTCTAATTGACAGTTATTTATGTTATTGAAGCTATTTGAAATTTTTAAAGAACTGTTTAATAATTTTTTTTAGATTATTAGTTGGTTATACTGAAGACAAGGATGATATGTTTGGTCCATGGAAGGAGTGGAAAGGTTATGCATATGCTGGGGCCATGTTCGGAGTAGCTGCTATTCAGTCATTGGCACTTCACCAGTATTTCCACATTATGCAACAGATTGGCATGAGAATGCGCACAGGCATCATTGGTTTGGTTTATGAAAAGGTAACTGAGATACTTGTGAGTTGGAAAATCTAAAAGCTGAGATCAGTTTGTTTGTTTTCCTGGTTTCTGCTAATCATTTGTGTAGATGCAGGAGCAACATATGTTGGTGAATATTTGAGAGTGTGATTCAAAAAAGATTGCATCTTTCATTATTTCCTTTCATTAAATCATATCACTTAAGTTCTAAGTAGAAAATTAAACTAACCAGCCAGCTCCCAGCTGGCTTGTTAGTTCAGTTGGTAGAGTGCTGCACCAGTATTGCAGAGGTCATGGGTTCAAATCCCTTACAGACCTGAATTTTTTTCAGGCCTTAGTTCAACTACTAGTTCAGTAGTGTTCATTACTGTGAGGATCACTTCTATATTAATTTCTTCACCTGCAGTGCACATATATGATTTTCATATATCTACAGTCATTTAGTACCCCTGTACCACAGTCATTCCAGCAGAAGTGCCTTAGTTTGTGAAGAGCTACTTTGAAGTGCAGATCAGTTGAGTTCTTTACACTTGGTGTGTGATTATAGTAGAGTGGACAATGTGGGTTGAGGGGGTAGGGAGCAAGGCAAGAAGACTCCACCCTCTTTCAACCCCTTTTTTATCGACACTCACCCTTTCTTTCTCTCCCCAGTTTTCCACTGTCTAAAATACAAAATATGGCAACTATAATGTTCACCAACAAAATATTAAGCATTCACTCGCCGAAATTATGTACAGGCTTAAAACACATAAAGACAAGTAGAGCTCGCATTATATTCTTTTGTGTGTATTTCATAGGCTCTAGTATTGAACAGCAAGGCTAAAGGGAAGACAACAGCAGGTGAGCTTGTGAACCTGATGTCAGTGGATGCACAGCGCCTGATGGAGCTCACGACTTACATAAACTCATTGTGGTCAAGTCCACTTCAGATTGCTGGTTCTCTGTACTTCCTCTATAATACTCTTGGACTCTCCATTCTGGCTGGACTAGGAGTCATGATTCTAATTATTCCATTAAATATGTTTTTTGGAAGTAGAATGAGTACTCTTCAGGTCAGTTAATAGACCAGTTTTGGTCAGAAATAGCACACCTTTGATTTTGTTGTTCTCAACAACAAGCACCTCTAGTATTGTGGTAGATTTTTACTTATCCTGCTACTGTTATGGTTTCCTTGAACGTCTCTGCACTGTTATTTTTCTGTAGAGCACACACTTTAGTTTCTAAAAAGAGTATGGATGCCTCATGTTCCAATCCGATTTCACGGCAGATAGAAATACAGGTTTCAGGTTTGCAGGTTTATATATTTGATTACCAGCCGCTGTTTGGGAATATGAGCCTACGCTCCTCTCCCTCGAACTTGAGAGCAAAGACCAGCCACAAGCCTAGTTTATATACTGCAGTGTTTGATCTCGGACTTCTGTAGCTGATGTGATCGCCGTTAAATGAAAACACCAATCCTCATAACCCCCCTTAACAAACAACTGTGATGTTACAGTTTGAACAGCCTTATGGTAAAACGGCTTTTGGCATCTGCCATCAAAAGTGGCTACATTTTTTATTAAGTAGCTTAGACATACAGCCTCAATTGTCTAGGGTAACCTGAAATGTTAAATATTTAGCTGCGCTTTTCGTTTTGACAACTTGATTAAAGAGGTTGACTGAAACAATTTATGCAATTGATATTCCTCGTAACTTGATGGAGGTTGCAAAATGAAAGATATTTGAAATTATTCTATTTTAAACGAACCTTTAGGTAAAACAAATGAGTGAAAAAGATGAAAGGATTAAACTGATGAATGAAATTCTTAGCGGAATAAAGGTAAGTTTCTGCAACTTAGGGTCACGAGAATAAAGGAAATTCTACCAACTAAGGGAAAGATTGTGAGACAAATTCTCCTTGTCAGCACCTTACGAATTGTAAGAAGAACAGTAAGGAGAATATAAATACTGATGTAAGGGTGTTAACGGTTAATAGACCTAGTGGGACGGTCATTATCTGATTTGTGAATGAATTGAAAGAGAAAGTTAGTTTCGATCGATCAGTCTATAAAAACAACTGCGATTTCTCGTGTTGATTGATATAATTGTTTGTTTCCAGGTCCTCAAGTTGTACGCTTGGGAGGAGTCCTTCATGAAAGAGGTGGAAATAAAACGTAAAAAAGAGCTAAAGTACTTGAGGAATTCTGATTTCTGGGCGGCAGGATTTATGTTTACGTTTGGCTGTGCACCGACATTAGTAAGTTGCTGATCAAGACTTCTCAGGTTTTCTCTTTCCAAAACCCAAACGAGCAAAGGGAAGTAACGCTAGTGATCGTTGTAAGCCATTTTTTAATTGAGTGTAGGAAGTAATCCGAGATTGCGTTACGTTGCTCTGTGATTGGTTGAGAAAATTCGCGCCTCTCTTAGCCAATCAGATTCAAAACTAACACCAATAACGACTTGGTCACCTGCGTTTTCCCGCGCTTTAAGTAGTTTGCTCGTGTTTACTTTGAGTTCTCATTGGCTTTTCTGGCGATGATTCTCTCTCTTCTGATTGGCCGTTGTAGTTGCTTTGGATTTGATTTTATGACACTCAATCGAAACAAACAAACAAAAATCAAACAAACCAAGATAAAGTCTAGAGTCAGCCAGTTACAGTGGAACATACCTAAGTGAACTTTTTTATGCTCTACTTTCCAGTACAATTTGAACTCACGTTTATTTCTTACTACATAAACAACTTAACTCAACCGAATGATCAGACTACGCAATCAAATTTACTCCTAAACCATTTTTTTATGTAATGTATTTCAAATAGCAAAAAGTCTTCAATTTATAATTACAGCCGGACAGTTGCTTTTTAGCGATTGGTCAAACTGAGTAAATGTTCTTCTAAACCGTTGTGTGCATCTTTTTTTTTCTACTTTCTTCAGGTGGCAGTCACCACATTTGCGATCTATGTAATTACTGGCAATTTGCTAACAGCTAGTAAAGCTTTCGTTGCCTTGGCCCTTTTTAATGTGATGCGCTTCCCACTTGTCATGCTTCCCGATGTCATCGTTTCCTGTGTTCAGGTAATTCGAATATTTAACCCTCTTTTGTTGTTGTTCTCTAAATCTAATTAGTAAACTCACATCAACAAAATGACCCTTTATTTCACCGAAGATTTTAAAAGTGACTTTAACTCAGAATTTTGAAACATTATCCGCATGGGAATTTACTGGAAGTTTTCTTGTTTTTGTTTATTCATTGGTTCATTTGTTTATTTGTTTGTTTGTTCAACAGGCAAGTGTATCTCTGAAGAGGCTGCAAGATTTTCTAAACCTAGAGGAACTGGACCTCAACAGTGTCCAAAGAACAACATGTAAGATTTCCTGTTCACCTTCTTGTCATTTTAAGATAATCGTTCAATAAACTGTTCGTCAACTTTTAAATGGTAACCTGCTCGCAGGGACTAATGATGTGAAGAAATAGAATAACCGAACAATCTGCTCAGCGGAAAGGAGAGAGGAAACACAACATTGAAGGCAACATCAACTATAATGACAACACGGTCGTCAAAGACAAAGACAAAAGCATTAGCAACAACAGCAGCAATCACAATAACAACAACAGGCAGTGGGGGAAGCACCACACAAAGTGAACTTGTTAACTACGCCTTGTTGTGTTTTCATTCCTTTCAAATCCGGAAGAAATTTTGCCTACTGCCTCATCCACGTCCTTTTTTTATTGTGTTTTATTTGTTTATGTATATTTTATTTTAAAGTGTCGTCCTCTGCCGTGTCTATCGAGAATGGTACATTTACGTGGAGCAGCAGAAATGCACCTGTGTTGAAAGAGTGAGTTTTGAAAGTTAACGGCGAATTGCCAACATTTAAAGGTGATAAGTAACCTGAAAGAGCATTATATGTAAGTACGTAATGTTTTATACGCTGGAAGTATCTCCAAACGGAAGTAAAACCGTCTCCTATAAACGCGCGCAAATGATGTACAAGTAAATGAGAATTATGAGACGTTTGTTGGTTGAAACTTAATCAGTGAGGGTCTTTTTTTTCCAGGGTGTCGTTGCAAATTCCTAGTGGCTCACTTGTCGCCATAGTCGGGCAGGTTGGATGTGGAAAATCTTCCTTACTTTCTGCCCTCCTTGGAGATGCTGAGAAAGTGGATGGAAATGTCTCTGTGGAGGTGAGAACTCTGTAGAACGTTGTTCAATTATTTTTCAAAGGTGATCATGGATTGCGTTAGTTTTACATTGCTTTGCTCTCGCGTGAAGTTAGCCCTGAAGCAATTGCTGATAGCGTCTTGTCAAAGCTGATATCTATTTGTTAAACGAGCTATTAAAATGCAAACTACAACCAATTCCAACGTGATCACTTTCGCTTTTCCTGCGCTTGAAGCGGTTTACATCCTGTTTTCTTGTATTTCGCATATTTGTAGGGATCTGTGGCGTATGTTGCTCAGCAGGCCTGGATACAGAACGCAACTTTACGAGACAATATTCTGTTCAGCAAAGCCATGGATTCTGCACGCTACGAAAACGTGCTTGATTCGTGTGCTTTGAGACCTGACCTGGAAATTCTTCCTGCCGGTGACTCCACAGAAATTGGAGAGCGAGTATGTTCTTTTGTTTCTTTTCAAAGGCGCTAGGATTCTCAACAGACCTCCCTCAGTCCAAAAGGGCGTCTGAACATTAAAACCAGTATAATTCAAAGTGCACAAATTTATAACAACACCAAAGTAGGCACAGTTTGTAAGCTATCCAATTCCTTAGACTATGGCTCGACACATGGTTGTTTTGGGAATGAGAACCAAAACTATATTTAAAAATGATGAGACTTCCACGTTTTCTCTGAGGTATTTACCTTTTATTCCCGTTGATGTTAACTCTATTGTTCATGACTCCTGGTGCTTTCCTATGTATTCGAAAATTTCATTTTGTTTTAACCATTTTTTTCTCCTCCTTTAAGGGTATTAATCTTAGTGGTGGACAAAAACAACGTGTAAGCTTGGCTCGTGCTGTGTACTTCAATGCTGATATCTACTTGTTGGACGATCCGCTCAGTGCTGTGGACTCACATGTTGGAAAACACATATTTGAGAACGTTGTAGGGCCACGAGGAATGTTAAAAAATAAGGTCTGCTAGAGTTCGTGTTTTAGAGCTTGCAGGCTCATTCCCTGGGCAGCGTTATATGTTTTGCGATCAGTACTTCATTTTAAATGTTAGCAGGCAGGCGGGCTCAATCCCACGGTTAGCCTGTGTATTAACTGCCCTCACAATTTGATTCAAGGAATTTTGAGATTATTAGTGAGCCCTTTATCGTGAATTCAGTGTATATTGAGACTTGTTAGTTCCTAAGTGTTTGATTATGGGGAAGTTCGCCTTTTTTTTTGGTTTTTTTACAGACTCGTTTGCTCGTGACTCATGGAGTTCATTTTCTTCCACAAATGGATCAAATTATCGTGCTCAAGGATGGAAGAATTACCGAGGTTTGTTTATTGTTCATCTTTAATGGCATTGTATATGGAGATAAATGAAAGCTGGTGTGCCACAAAACACCATAAATAGCACTCGTCGAACGGGAACGGTCTCTCGTGCACTTGAGTAAAAGTAATCAAAAAAATCTCACGGTGGCAAAGTCTATGAATTTTTGGCAATGTTGCAAAGTTCCGTTACAAAAAATTCAAACTATGCAACAGACCTTTTAAAACACACAATTGAAAGGAAGAACTACGTCGCCATTGCTGCCTAGCAAAGCACATAAAAGAGAATTCATATTTTTCGGCGTTCAATCGATAGGCGTCCAACAGGAAGCTCAGTGGCACTGGAGACTGTCGCCAATTAGCCTTACACAAGAACTAAGCTATTCTCCCCACCAACGGTACGATAATTGTTGGGAATTTATTGTTTGTTTGTTTTTTTTCAGTGCGGTACTTACTCAGAGTTGATGGCAAACTCAGGAGCCTTCGCAGAATTCTTACAAACCTACTCATCAGAAAACCACTCTTCAGACAACTCAACAGGTGAAAAAGTTGGCTTTTTTATCACAAGGGAAGGGGGGGGGGGGCACGAGGTTTCGTTTCTCCCAATACTTATTAACCTAGTTGTTATGATTTTCTCTTGTTTAAACTTTCATCCAAAGTGCTTTTGCTGCATTTTTTATCCACTTCCACGATTATGGTTTATCAGGTCTAAGGGAGAAACATGGGGTTTTATAACCAAAGCGTGAAAGTCGAGTTTTCGAATTTTTCGCCTTGACCTGCTCAAATTCCTTTGTTACATTTTGTTGTTTATGTGTGTGTTATTGTTTGTTTGTTCTAGAAAATGAAGAACAGGGATCTGTTGCGAAGGCTAGCTCCAAAGCAAGCAGTTCTGAAGTTAAGGAAGTTAGTCAGAAGGATGAAAACGATGATGAGGACGAACTGGGAAAAATGATTGAGGAGGAACGCTCAGAGACTGGAAGAGTGAGTAATTAGATAAAGAGCTTTATGCACAAGTTGCCGACCAGGCGTTCACCTACTGGTGAAGAATTTTTGAGAGACCTGCCATCGTTTCAGTATTTTACTCGCTAGTTAATTATTTTTGTGATTCTTTATTTCATCGGTGTAATTATTCTTACCGTTATCACTGTCACTGTCATTATCGATGTCACGATTATTATCAGCGTCGTTGTCATTTTCATCATCGTTATTGTCTTCAATTTAAGTTTTGAGCTTCATCATCGCCATCATCATTATTATCGTCTTCGTCATCGTCATTATCGTTTTTATTGTTAATCATTATCAATATTACTGTTAGCATCCTTGTTACAGCCCCTGCCTTTGTCTTTACCCTCTAACTCCCACAAGTGACCAAGAGAGAATTTCTCCTTACAATATCAATACAATATCAAACAGACAAGTGATGAGAATACAGAAAAATATAAATTAGGGGATTATAGGTGGCTCTAATACTAAATTCTCCAACCTAAGAATTATATGACACACAGTAGGGAGAATTACTAATGAGATCTTGGAACGGAAGGGTTATAAGTATCAATAATGTGACTTCTCGCATTGTTTTAGGTCAAGTTCGCAGTATTCTTCTCCTATCTCAAGTCTGTGGGCTGTTGCGCTTCCTTCCTAACCATAGTGTCCTTTCTCCTGATGGAAGCCTGCACAGTAGGGACAGGAATATGGCTGGCGTACTGGAGCTCGGCAAATGTCACTACAGACGAACAAAGAAACTTGTACTTGGGAATTTACGGTGGCCTCGGTTTGGGTCAAGGATTCTTCACTTTCCTTGTTTCTATTTTTGTCACAGTTGGAGCTATGAGAGCATCTCGAAGGTTGCACCGCAACCTTCTAGTCAACGTTATGCATTCACCAATGAGCTTCTTTGACACCACCCCACTGGGGAGAATTGTCAACAGATTCTCGAAAGATTTGTACACTATTGATGATACCATACCGCGGTGTGTCACGGATTTTATTTGGTGTTCACTCGAAATTATTGGGATGATCGTAGCGATTAGTTACGCCACTCCGCTGTTTTTAGCTACGTTGCCTGTTGTTGCAATTTTTTATTTTTATATACAGGTGAGTGAACCAAGGCGAAAAGAAAGCCTTGGACCCGCTTTTGCTGTGACGAGTTTTCCTTGTTTGTATATGTGGAAGAAGGTGACCTGTTATTTCTCCTGGTAGACTTTTAAAACTAGTGGACAACAAAAGTTGGCATGAACAAAATTTGTTAGCACCGATTGCTTTAATTACGTAACGAGAACATTTTAGCAGTCTCAAATTGAATTCTACTCCAGCAAAATTTTGTCATAACATAAACTATTAAATGCGTTTATTTAAATTCAAGTGCGCTTGTGTGATGGCTCGGTCGAAGAACAAGGCCAAGGATGGAAAAGACTGCAACTGATTTCCAACAACTAACGCAAACATTTAGCCTAAATTTATCCAACATGTATTATTTGTGGTGTACAGTATTTCCTTTAACCGAGAATTAAGATCTTTTTTTCCTTGGTCATAATGTTGAGAGCATTGAACTGTTTTAAAATATATTTCTACAGAGAGTTTATGTAGCAACTTCGCGGCAGCTGAAGAGGATCGAGTCCGTCAGTCGGTCACCAATCTATAGTCACTTCCTGGAAACAGTGAACGGTGCCAGCACCATACGAGCATATTCTCAACAACGCCGTTTTATCCTCGATAATTACTATAGGACAGATGAGAATCAAGTGGCTTACTATTCTACTGTATCCTCAAACAGGTGAGGAAGAGCAAGTAAAGGCAGATCTCGGAGGATTCATTGGAGTTTCAAAGCTGACGTTTCTGAGCGTTAGCTCTTCGTCAGAGCGTGGATAAAAGCACCTGTTCTGAGCGTCGTTTCTTTTCTTTTTTTTTTTTTTTTTTTTTTTTTTTCTCCACGTAAGCTCTGTTGTGGCCGGGATTGCTAAACTGAATTTAATGTCAATGTGATTGGAGATAGTGGAGTACGTGCGGTTCGTCTATGTTAATTTAACGTCGTAACATTCTGCTCATCCATGTTTTGGACACTTAAAGGTCTTATTTTAGTTTCGACGTGCAAGTGATAGAAGTGTCAGTTGAATACAGTTTTGTTTCACAATAAATGTAGGAAGACAAAGCTAGGGACAGAAATTGGCTCCACTTGATCCAAGGTGTTCGTTTTAAATGTGGATAATTGATACATTGTTTTCATTGCCTCCACAGGTGGCTCGCAGTTCGTCTTGAATTTCTCGGTAACTGCTTGATATTATTCGCTGGGTTATTTGCTGTCTTAAGCAGAGACAAAATCATGAGTGGATTGGTGGGAATGTCGTTAACATATTCGTTAGAGGTGAGTACATTGGCTAAGCTCGGATGTAGCAAAAGAAACGGTCAAACATTTGCCTCGCTCCCAACTTGTGTCTTCGTAGCTCAGTCGATAGTTGCCCGCTACTAGTCCGCTCTGGGAGGCATGGGTTCGAATCCCGTCGAAGCCGGGAATTTTTTCCGTGCTTCGTTTCTGCAATTTCTAAGATCGAAGTTCAGCCACGTGACCTGTGAGGATCATTTCTTTGCTTGTAAGTGAACACACAGATACTAAACCATAGCACAAGCTGAACGCGTTGTTTCACTCGCCTATAGAAACCACAGCTGGAAGCTTGAGCGGCACTTTTGTCTAAAGAAGTTATCAATTTATCTAGATTCATTTACTTCTTCTGTGTTGTCTTTAGATTACGGAAACTCTCAACTGGGCAGTGCGCATGACGAGTGAACTAGAAACTCAACTTGTTTCCGTTGAAAGAGTGAAAGAATATTCAGAAACAGATACAGAGGTAACTAATGACAATAATAGCAATAAGAATTTAAAACTATTAAATTCTGAGCTCGAGGGTTTTATTGCGTGATAGTTGTAGGTTTCTCAAAAATTTAACCCAAAATGATTTTAAACTTGTTTGATTTGTAGTTTGGTTTGATCCAGGTCATTTTCTTTATCCATTCATTTTCAATCATTATATCAACTATTTTGTGCATAGGCTAGATGGATCATCCCAGAAAATCGACCGCCAGACGACTGGCCATTCACTGGACGGATTATAATGGATCAATTTGACTTGAAATACAGAGAAGGATTACCTCTTGTACTGAAACAGATCAGCTGCGATATTAAACCAGGAGAAAAGGTACACAAACAAGCCAGGGTATATCTAAACGGTTAATCGTCCCACTATGTTTTATTACTTTGGTTTCCTATCACTAATTAATATGTAACTTATCTTCTTTACCATCTATATATTACCCAGCAAGCAGGTAATGAGAATAATCAAACTTATCAGGTGGTTTTTGTTATCTTGATTTAATACCAAATTCTCGATACCAATTTACAAGGAAATGTGTAGCAGCTAGAGGGGAGAATCAACTATCAGATCTTGGGAGCTAAAGGTTTAATGAAGACAGAAATGTCAAATAGTGAGGAATGGCTCCTGGATGAGGCTTTGTGGATCAACTTGGTACTTTTTCTCTGTCTTTGGTGGAGAGACTTAAATTACGAAGTTCGACTTTTGAAATCGTTCTTAATCTTAAGCTTTGCGCGTAATGCATTATTGTTGACTGGAAAGCTGCCGTGGCTAACGTCAAATTGTACAGTGATGATATTGAGGGCCAGCGAACTGTAAACTTACACTTTCATATGCATTTGACCGTGAAGTCTGATCGTCTGGGTGAGTGAAGGCCTCAGCTCCTAAAATATCAATGCAATATCAAGCAGACAAGTGATGAGAACAAAGAAAAATGTTATTTGGGGAATTACTAGTTGATCCAATACCAAATTCTCCGAACTTACATCATAAGAGATGTATGGCAGACAGTAAGGAGAATTACTGAAGAGAGCCTTGAATTGAAAGGGTTGAAAGAGTTACTGTCAATGGCACTGAGTGACTAATGTTTCGACAACCCGAGCGGAAATCCTAATCAGAGTCAAGTTCATGCTATTTACACCCCGCTCCTATCCGGGTTTACGTTCAATCAGGTTGTAAAATCACTTCATACTTTAGCGTACCTTTTTTTAATTTCAACAGATAGGCATTGTTGGCCGAACTGGAGCGGGAAAGTCGTCATTGACGTTAGCTTTGTTCCGTATTCTGGAGAGAGCTGGTGGAAAAATAACCATCGATGGTGTTGACATCGCTACCCTTGGGCTGCAGGATTTACGCTCGCGGCTAACCATCATCCCACAGGTAATAGCACAGTATAGGTATACATGTTTAAGCAATATTGGCACGTGTACGGACACGTGTACGGACACACGTGTATGTGAGACGGGATGGTCTGTTGATAAGTAAGCTGGACTCCTGAGTGAGAGGTCCTGGTGCCGTGGTTTACTTTGTAAAGGTTTACACAGGGTGGGACTACGCCCTTGGGGCCTTCGGTCCCACAAGGAGATGTTATCATAGTCTACGAAGGGCTGGTAGCAAATGATCCAAAACTTGTGATCTAAGAGCTTGCTGTTTTTCTCGATCAAATTTAATTTTGTTTGTTGTTGTCTTTTCTATTACTGTTAGTGTTATTTTTTCGTAACATAATCCTTCTGATTCTTGGCATGAATAATGCAACAGGATCCAGTGCTGTTCTCTGGGAGCCTTCGACTTAACTTGGATCCTTTTAATAAATACACTGATGACCAGCTATGGCACGTGTTGGAAGTGAGCCACATGAAGAACTTTGTCTCAGGGCTTAATGAAGGACTTCAGTACACAATTGCAGAGGGAGGAGAGAACTTGAGGTGATTAACTTGACGAACTTTTTCTTTTAACTTTATTACATGTAAAAAAAAAACTATTCATACTGGGTGTACTCCACAGTGTTGGTCAACGTCAGTTGGTGTGCTTAGCGCGTGCGCTGCTGCGTAAAAGTAAGATCTTGGTTCTGGACGAAGCCACGGCTGCGGTGGACTTAGAGACTGATGAATTCATTCAGCAAACGATTCGGCGAGAGTTTGCTGACCGCACAGTATTCACCATAGCTCACAGGCTCAACACCATTATGGATTATGACAGGTCAGTAGCTTTTGCTTGACTTGTGAGTTCTGTCATGATTAGAAAGGGATCTTCTCCAACGTCCGTGGTGAAGCAAGTGTAAAGCAAGTTCTTTATAATCTAGGACTTGTGAGTGAATTCCTGCTCTGTATCTGAAAAGGTCTCCCAGGAATGAGCTAGCTACTTCGGCATTTTGTGATATTCAGCTTTCTGTCGCCCGTTTGTTTTCCTTATCATGATAGTTCATACATTTTTGGTTCATTAAATTTTATCATTACTTGGTTTTTTTGTTCTGGCTCGTTTTCGTTTTTTTTTTTTGTTGTTTTTTTGTTTTTTTTGTTTTTTTTTTCCATTCCGCTTTAGAATGAATTGATTTGGTAGCTTTGTAAAGTGCCGAAGGCAGTGACAACTTGTTGATGCTAGATTTATAAGATTGCTGGAATTGAAGAGGTTGAAGTTAAAAATAAACTGTTTTGTTTCACTTGCAGGGTGTTGGTTCTCGATAGCGGCTCCATTGCTGAGTTTGATTCCCCTTCAAACTTACTGAGTAGAAATGGACTTTTCGCGAAATTGGTTCAAGATGCCAGGCTTTCCTGAGGATCTTGTGCATGAGCATTGGTTGTGTTTTCGATTCCAGCCCATTCCAACACGTGGTCCTTAAAAGAGACTCACGAGTACATGTTGAACATGAACACGCGAACATTAAGTTCACGAGATATATAACCAAGGAAAGCGTTTTTCACGAGATAATATAACCAAGGAAAAAGTTTTGTGTTGTGTGTTTCCTGTGCCGTGTTCTCTCAGACCCTGAGCGTTAATCCATTTCATCGACGTAACCGAGGAAAAAGGCTCACAGATTCGCAAGACTCCAGCGAAACGAAACGGATTAGCGCAGCGAAATTTGAAGGGCCTAGAAATGTATATATATATATACGACGAGCGCTTAGGCGCGAAACTCAGAGTCATAGAATCGATGCGTCCTCTTTAATTGTTTAACTTATATATATATATATATATTTTTTAAGAGGAAAAAAGGACGCAACTACATTTTCCCGACAAG